TTATTAATTTTAATTTTCAGGAAGAATGCAGATTCGACCCCAAAGTACATTACTGCCTCTCGGTAATTCAACTTAGGATAATGACGTCCAGACGGAAAGACAATAAATCTGTCTGTTCTTGTCCTCGCTACACACAACAATAACACTTGGTTTTCCTACCAAGACAATCATTACGTGGAGCTGAATATAATAATGAAATATGCGTACATTTAGGAATCTTTCTCATCATTGAACACTAAATATAGATTCGATCATTGTTTTTAACACCGCTACTAATAAACCATTTGATTATGAAGTCGATGTAATCAGGTTTGATTTTATTGCGGTTGACCAAAATGCTCGTAAAATATATATGTAAAGTATATGTAATTGCCGTGTACATATCTGTGTACGTGATAAATATGAACCATATGTTTAATAGTATAGCCTATTATTACAATTACCGAGTGAAGGTAATTGCCTAGACACTGCTATGTTAGTTCATAACACATTATTACACGGTTCATAAACAGGTCGCGTAACTTATAGTTGTTATTTAGATACGTCGTGAGTTCTAAACGTATACATACATCAAATGGATATAGTGTATAAACAAGTATGGAGCATTTTCAGGTTGCACTCCAGTATGGGAGAACATCAACCGACATGGGTATAACCAATATTCAGTGAACATGTAGTTATAATCTAAATAGTATTCAATCACGACGAAATTCACTACTATAAAGCAAATTACGGTTTTATAATATTTCAAAGCGACGCGGGGTAATTGACTGGCCATTCGCTACAAAGTCAATCTATTACAATGGAGTGGGAAGGTTAATATCATTACCTTTAACAACGTATAATTTGTGGTAAATGGCGCGGAATTTGATAATGGTTTGGTAATGGCCTTATAGCTACAGTATTCTTTGTCACAATCATCCTGAACTGTACGCGGGGCATTACCTGCGATCTGCGCAATATAATTTGTAGTGATTCACGGTCTTACAAATGAATGCTATTTTGGTGATTTCCAAATTGTAAACTCGACTCTAAACCAGAAAAAACAATATCGCTATTGAATTTCTTGGATATACTTGTTTTCATTGTGTTCCATCGCAGGAGTGCAGTGTCAATGCCCTTTCATAATACGACAATGTATAGTGTCCCAATGACAGTGTTTTCACATGTTAAACGTCAGCACATGTTCGCTCCCACTAACTACACACGAGTGGTCTACAAGAATATACACTCACTATACAAGTTTTTGGACACGTATTAATAATCGTAATGGTTCTGCAATAACGATTTAAATAATCTGAAATAATTTGAACTTGTGTAGACTTTTATAGTATGATTCACATATAATTGTGCGGTTGAAGACTTAGGTTCAGACAAACGATCGAGTGATTAAATGTGCAGATTCGCCACGCTAATTAACAGTTGGACTCACCCACACTTAACAAACGTTTATGTGTTTATGTGCAGAGAAAAGTTGTTAACTCCTGTGCTTCATCTCACAATAGCGGCCATGGACTTTAAACTGTTAATTTGATTTGTTTGCCAGAACAATATTCTTAATGTACGTTGGGAAATTAATTATTTTTGCTTTGCACACGTGTATTTTATATTTTATTCACACAAGTGAAACAATTCTTCAAGAGTCAAGTTAAAAGTTGGCAAATATAAAATTTAGCTCAAAACATACTTCCATTCATCGAAATAAATGAACCTGAAAATGGAGAGTAATTTTAAACAAATTTACACTTCAGTTTGATTGCCAAGAGATTAATTGTATCGACTTATTGCCATTTAATGTACATTTAATACGAGTGTATACTGATAATAAACGCCCTTCTAAATATTGATCTGTTACAGAGTTACGGGTTACTTGATATTTAGCACAAAAGTACCGTTATTTGTATTTGAGAAAAAGCTTGAAATATGTCATTTATTTGTGTTAGTTTTAGATATCCAATAACATATATCTTTGCAATTCGTCAGAAAACACACACACACACACACGCACGCGCAAATGTTTCCGCCAAGAATTGTTACATTAATACCAATCATTTGTATTGTTAGACATGTACAATCGGGGGGGATGGGTTACCAACACACAAAATATACTGCGTTATGTAGTAGATTCTACTTTGAATATGTATGTGGAATATTTATGAACGTACTTATGCCATGTAAACTTGTACAACATGAACAGTCAACTGTCAAAAAAGAGCTGACGAAGAAATACACAGCTGAATAGATTTCGACTCGTCCCAGGGCACATTTGTTTTAGGGGGGAGACATTATTTCTGTACACTGAGGTAAAAGTATATGATATGCCTTCTGTATGATTCGGTACGAAGGGATGGACGTGTTGTTTTCCAATATTGGACGAGGAAAAGCTATATAAATAGTCGAAGAGAAAGAATATAATTACTCAACTAACAATGTTCTGAATTGTTATTAGCAGAATGAAGGTAATTCAACATTTACACACGTAAACAGGTCTGAAAATTCCAAATAGATGTGAGTAGAATATAAGAGAAATTAAATGTTTTTAAAGCATATGTTTTGCGTACGCAATGCACGTCTTGTACGCGATTCTCAGAGCCAAGTGAATTCTGTGTGAATAAGGTTGGAACCTATACTACATAACACTGTGGTGATCAATCAGAATTACGTGATTATGAATACGGATTATGAAGTGTGGAACAAACCTAACAGCGGTTGCACTTATGAAATGATACGTTTCCTGAGAGTATTCTATGATGAATTTGTTTTTGCGTATCTGTTAATCGACTTAATTAGCTGAATGGCTGTGTTATGTCTGGCATCGTTTAGACCATGTGATGTTCTGGACGGAACTCGACTCAGTGATTTGGAACTAATTACGAGATAACCGTCGCTATTCGGACTACTATTTCTGACAGTTAGTATTTGTAGTTATTAATGTAGTAAACGATTAATCAAAAGATATGACGTGTTCAGTACTTAGTGTGATTGGCTGTATGATTGAAGGTTACGCCCTAGAGTTTTTTTTACTGCTTTGTAATTGGTTAGAGTTTTGAAAATGAATAAAGTTGTTTGAGTTGGTCTTGGCGAGTACACGAGAACAGAGGCAGTCCAGTCCTGGAGAGTCTTGGGGCGAGCCTTGAGGCAGTCCAGTCTTGGGCTAGTCTTGGGCCAGCCTTGCGATAGTCTTGGGGATTTTCCCCAGGGCGCTGTGTCTTATAGAGTGCTCGACTGATCGACTAAGACGAAAGTTGAAACGTATTTCGTTGTGTGTGTCTTATTTGACTGTAAAGCTTAAGTGACTTCCCCGATCCCGTACCTCAAGGGAACGCGATATAGAGACGAAACGAGATCCCCCCTGGCACGTGTGGAGAACCCCGAAGAGAGGATTTACCCCCGTGATAATTCTATACACCGATGTAGGTTGTGTAGTACTATCTAATAACAATGGTGCCATGTGGATACAATATCGTGACGTCAGTCTAATATTGAGTTAATAATTAAGAGTGAAATCGTATGAGAGAAGCTGAAAGCGCAAATATTTGATTTACGGGAATTACAAAAAATAAGGGTATTCTCAATACGCCCTAACTACACAGACTGTCAGAATTCAGTGACCACGTACATGTCAGATCAATCAACGCCGTCGACTGTGTAATTGTTGATAATTATACAAATATCGAACATTTGTGAAGTACTATATTAGCTTGATATTACCATTTTTACTGCCGTGAATTTAGACTAGAGCAATTCATTTAAAGCCATATTTGCTGGTGCCATGACATGTTAAAGAAATATACGGATATGCGTACGTGACACATTGTTGTTGGAGTAATAATTACATACATTTGCGCTGAACCCACTGAATTTACGTGATGAATACGATTTCCCGTCTTCGATTAGAAATGCATGTAAGAGTAATAGCGTAACAACTGTTCGTTACACGATTGTTCCGTAAAAAGGCGGTGGAAAGCAACGTCCACGATGACAAAACACAGTTACGCTGAGAGTGTGTTCCACTATCCGGCTGACGACATCAAAATATGCGTTAAGTAGCCGAGTTTAACACGCACAGAGACAAAGACGCACAACGCACACTTACATTGCTGTATTAAATTTAATATAGACGACAACACAGGTATGTATAGCATGTACCCAAGTGGCAGCTATGCAATAATCCACAATTATAACAAGCTATAAAACTGAGTCAGTGCTAATAATAATGCTATTCACATTTATCGAAACATTTCAGTTTATTGGTTCTTGTGAAATCTTGTGAACGACATATTGGATAATGTCGAAATAATATAAATAATATAATACTAATGTACCCAAAAACAAAGTTTCATAAAACCCACACTAAATTTACACCTGTTCATAATACCAAAAAGAAAGATTGGGCTTTACATGGTTTCAATATGTGACTTATTTGTGTTACTCCGTGCTCACGCAAGACTGGCTATTTAACGCGAGATTGGCTGTCTCCGGTTGAAATCGGAACGATACAAAACACGAATACAATAGGGTTAATGTCAAACAAAATGAAACGAAAAATAATTAGCATTCTATATACAACATTCACATTATATATATAGTATTTTCTTTGCTTTTTTTAAATCTGTAAGTAATAACATCACGTAGATTTTATCATCTCTCGAGTCGATATTAGAATTTGCACTTTGGTAAATTTACATTGGTTTAGTGTTTCACGGTTACGATGGTTTCAAAGAAATGTAGAAAAGTAGGCAAAGCCTATTATGAACTAGTGCTCAAGTCGTAATGAAAAGTGTGCGTCTAATAAAAATACTAAACTTTGAATGAAGACAGTATGTGGCCAGTTGTTGTTTTGTAAATTACATGACATTTGTAATCAAACGTGAACAGGTTTGTAGCAATTTCGCTTTTCAATTGAATATAAAATGTTGAGTTGCTGTACAGAATGATATTAATGAAATCATCTAAACTAGATTGTGAAATGACTTCGAGTGTACCGTGTTTGTACTTACCATTTCCACTCATGTCCTTTACGAAGCTTTAAAGTGATTATCGTTTCGAATAAGAGTCCAAGAACTGACATGAGCAACAGCCAATATAGTGGGTCAGCCTTTACATCTGTCACTCTCCACACGGAAATAAAGCCATGTACCGAGAACATAAGACGCGTAATAATGGCTTTGACGATACCAAAAAACTCCATTCTCGCGATCATCAATTCATATCCACCCGTATTTTGTCTGCAAGCAACACCATAATTCGCCGTGCGATTCCTGTATTCATAGACAGAGCAAATATAATTTCTACTCAGAAGCTACAATCGATTCAGGTGTATTTTGTATAGCCATGATTTCAAGCTTTTCTTCGATTGGTCCGTCGCGCTTGAAACTTCAAATTCTCGCGAAACCAAAATATGTCTTCCTCCAAGTTCTGACCGTATCAACTCATTCCACCTGCCAGTTTGATTGCATTATAGTCGATAAGTCACACCCAGTCACGTGATATTGCAGAAGTGCACTTAACGGCGCCACCGTTCAACAGTTCAATACTGAGGAGAATTAGGTGTGAATAGCCGCAATACTGCGTGACGTTCAATCATACTGTTCAACGAGGAAAATATGTGTGTTTTATTAACAAAAAAATGATATTTGTACTGGTGGTATGACAAATAGTACTTAAACAGGGCATAAGGTTTTGCACAATGAACCGATTAGAAACATAAAAGTCATATATGAAATGATTTCATATTGCGCTGTTATTGCGCGTTAATTCTTGATGTACATTCGTTATTGTTATTACCATGCGAAGATCATAAGTGCCGACATCAAACGACAAAAAATGGGACATCCGTCACCATTCCTTAACCCTCATCCTGTCAAATCACTCTAAAATTAACTGCTTTTTCGCGGAAATATTTAAAAGCCGCATTAAATGACTTCCATGATATCAATGCTTGTATGACGTGTACCATGACATATTCGTATCAGCTAGTCTTTGTTGTTATCGATATATCAGGCCAACCCTTCGTACCGTAAATCCGGTTCTTCGTACTGTCGTTGATATATCAATTCAGTCTGTCATTAGGTTATCGATATATCAATCCAGCCTTTGTACCGATATTCAATATATAAATCCAGTTCTTCATACAATAATCGATATATCAATCTTTATTCACACGATAATCGATATATTAATTAAGTCCTTCTTACCGTCATCGATATAAATCCAGTCTTTCGTAGTGTCACTAATATATAAATCTAGTTATTCAAATGATAATCAATATATCAGATATATCAATACAGTTTTTCGTACCGTCATCGACATATTAATTAAGTCCCTTGTGCCGTCATCGATATATCAATCCCAAACCCAACATTTGGACGATATTCAGCAATAGCACGGCTTACAAAAAAATATCACAAATGCTGAATGACTTTCCATGGAAATGTACATTATTAGATTTCTTTCTAATTCACTCATTCTTTGTACTCTTGTCACATCACTTTAAGTCTATTTGCAATTATCGCCAGTTTACTGTCAACGCTTTCATTACACTGGAGAAATTTATAAACAAATTGTGCCTGCTAACAGAACATTTAATTAGCCTAACCTTGTGTTCCATGTTGCACGCGCACAGCAATATCCTCATTTTTCTATATAATTCCTGGTCCAAATGTATAAAAGTCGGAAATAATCCCCTCGTACTAAATTATGCAAATGCTTACTGTCTATGGTAATATGAGATGCCATTTGTGCATAAATTATAATGTATGTTTTACTTGATTTGATTTAGCCGTATTATATGCAAAAAGATAACAAGTTATGAATATTTACAAATACTTATATTTTTATGAAACATACATCTCCTCTTGCAAATAGTTGTGAAATAGTAAATGGTATTATTATACATCTGTCGTCGTAACGCCATAAGTTGCAGCGTGCCGTAGTTTTGCAGTATTGCACTGGGTATTTTCATCATCCTACCATATTAGGAAATGCGAATTCGAAATATAGAATGATTACACGCATAAGCTTCCTCTAATAATAATAAATTTAAAACAAGCATGGCTGCCCCAGAGTTTGATCCAATCTCCTTCCCATAAGTCTTTGCGCTTTACGCAATAGTACATCTGCCACATCTGACAGTCTTCAATTTTGTGGTCAATCATCTCACTACGCACGGTCGTCCGCAGTTGTTTCAATTTGAAACCGAACTATAAAAAGTGGGAAAACACGTATGTGACATCCAAACTATTTATTAATGAGAGACTTCAGTAAAAACGAACCATTATATCACGGACTATGTTTTGCAAGGTAATGTTATTGTAGTGAAATGGCGCACGTGATACACTAAAACTGGGAAGAAAAAACGTTCTGTTAACGAATATAGTTGGGAAAGAAACATTAAAGACTAATTTCACTGAAAGGAGTTTCCTAACATTTCCGTTCATCTTGTATTCTGGTGAATATTTCATTATTATTTCTGGCTTGAACGGGTTCGATTTTCCGCGTCTAACAGTCATATAACACAAAGGTTCTAGTAAGTTTATAAAGTTAGTCATTTATTGTACAAACTAATGCTTTGGCATCTAGGAAGGTATTGGAAAGGATAGTTTAATCTAATTAACTGAACATTTTATTCGGAGTCAGGGCGTGAAATGTCTTATTAAAGTGATTAATGTAACCAAGTGACTTACGCATAACTTCGTTAACCGACAGCGTCTTGCAGTTCAAATATATTCGAACATGCAAACGAGTTCTAAGGTTATACTAGGATACTGCAAAGTATGCACTCAGACAGTACGCAGTCGCATCGACCGACGCGCACGGTCGATACTGCCGCTGCACTGTCTTCGTGCATACTTTGCAGTATCCTTGTAATAACATCGTAATATTTCGATATCATGACTAAATCTTGGGGGAAAAACGTGGCAATTGAACAAATATTTACTGATGCCTTTACACTTATCACGCATATCATGCAAATGTTATGTGCTATTTTCGTCATCGCACTCTGAATATCACACACTGCTAAACTCATGATTGACCATCTTGTATTTTTGTGTAATAATACATTCTTTGAAGACGAATCTACATTTTAGTAAATATGAACAATTTCACATTAAATAGTTGTTAAAATTGTATAAATTAAAGTATGATAAAGTTTAAATCCACGATGAAAGCGTCTTCTTTAGTATCCCAACCTGATTATCTTCCGCGAATATATTTATCATTCTTTATTTCAATAATACTATTTGATTCTTGTATTTTCCCTATAAGAATACTATTAGATTACCTCACTATTCCTGTAAAATTTCTATGGGATTCTTTTCAGAATTTCTACAAGAATACTGTAAAATTACCTCAGTATTTTTGTAAGAATTCTATGGGATTTTTTTAGAATTTCTATAAGATTACTATTAGATTACCTCAGTATTCCTGTAAAAATGTTATGGAATTCTTTTCAGAATTTCTACAAGAATACTATAAGATTGCCTCAGTATTCCTGTAAGAATTCTATGGGATTTTTTTAGAATTTCTATAAGAATACTATTAGATTATCTCTGTATTCCTGTAAGAATTCTATGGGATTCTTTTAGAATTTCTACAAGAATACTATAAGAATATTTCTGTTTCAGGACACGATTCAACTTTTTAGTATTGCGATAAACATACTATTGTATTGTATTGTTTGTGTATTCCTAAAAAATGTTATTGGATTCCTGTACCAATACTGTTTGATTTCTTTTTTACCAATACAAATACAAACACTATCAAACTTGTTTAAGTATACATGTACTTATAAGTGCTCATTTTGGTAATACAATTAGAATTGTTGATTTTAAATTCTATTTTATTGAAATTAAACTATATTTCATATTTCCTGCTGTATTCGATCCCAAATTATTGATTCTAGTAGACAGTCATAAAAATCATATCATGACATCGTAGTGCATTGTCTTATACCTTGTATTACCCGGCCTTGTAACGCTATGGAATGTGCATCCTCACATCAGGGCAATACTTTCCCATACCACGCCTAATCTAGCTCGCCCCTTTTTCATCGATTAAAACAAAACTCATCATTCTAAATTACATTGTGTGTTTAAGGTCACGCTGTGGTTAAATTGAAGAAGTGTGTTAACTCCATATTGGATTTTCAAAGCATTGTGGGATGGAAAATTGAACTGTAGAGGGCGTTTGGGGGGGGGGACTCACATATTTTCCATAGAGCCCTATGTTAAAATCAGCTTTTTACCTCTCCTGTTTTCAACAACGTTATAAATTTATGGTTATATTTTTGGACTTTCCATTAATTTTACTCGAAAGATTGTTTTGAAGTTGTTTTTTAGATTTTTTACCATTTCAGGCTACAAGCTGTCTAGCTCTAGGAACCGTATAGATTGGTAAGTGTACCAGATTTCTATTTATTTATTCTAATTTATGTTTTATTATTGGGATTTGAGTTCATAATGATAGAAATGTTTTAATTTTGATGATCTGTTGCAGTTAAGGTAGATAGAAGCCTCGTCATAATTTTTGACAAAATTGGTCATAAATCGCATGACAATGTTCATTAGTTTATTATGTACAATCATGAAGCTAATGTCCCATGGTACAATGAAATAGCATTATTTTGTGTGTTGCTGTTAAGCTTTTTTGAGTAACATGTCCTAATATTTGCTATTTTAGAACAATTTCATAGAACACAATGTTAAAGAAAAATTTCATTTTTTGACACTTTTTAAAACCCGGAACAATTCAGAACAAAAAGTACTCCATCATTAACAATAAATGATTTGTTCAGCCAATGTTACCAGATTTTGAGATATTGCACAATATCACTGCTATAGGAACCTGTGGTAAAAGTGTTATAATAGTGCAAAAATGGCGACTTTCCACTAAAATACAACCATCAATTTATCGAAAAAAAGGCTGGTGAACCCCACATTTTTTTAGATCAACATCCTTATATTGCCTTGAAGTAGTTTATTGCAAAATCAATAAATTCTAGGTATTTTAATTTATGAGTAGGCTTCTACCTTAAAATGGTTTCCATTCAACCAGCTGGAAATAGATCGAAAACAGAAAAACGTGCAAGTTCAGTAAGTTGGGAACGAATTACATTGGGAAATCTCGTCTTAAGGTAGCGAGACTATTATTTGTGTTGAAAATTACGATTTTCACATTTATTTATTAATTGATGAAATGCACTATACACTTTCATATGATAAAGTCAACATAACATAGAATGTCATGTAAGTTGGTTAAAATGTATATTTTCTGAAGGGAAGCAAGGCAGCCTCAGTAGTGTTTTCCAAAATCAACAACACAGGTTTAATCTGTGTGCCTATAAGTTTCAAAGATAAACTCAAGACAAAGCAATGTTAGGATGTGTTATCACTAGTTATCTGACACACAATGAGTGTTTCCAAACATTCGAGTGGTTTGTCTCCGCCCTTGTTTGTTTCACAGATTAGTCATTTGCATATGAATGTGTCAGACACAAGGTCACACAGCCACTGAAAAAAAATCATTGATTTTGGTGTTTTCATATGCCGAATTTATCCAATTATAGCTATCCCATTCCTTTATTTTTTGGTTTCTAATAGCCTTACACATTTGGATGCCCCTACACATGGTAAAACAGACCTTGATGGGAAAACAAATTGATTGTGCCGATAAACAAGCTTGAAAATCTTTGCTGTTACTTCATGGACGTTTTCTAGGAGTTTATGTTTTTCAAAATACAAGGTCTTTAACAAAAAATAACGTATACACCAAATTTTCACAGCTTTAAGGTGACAATGAGAGGAACTTGAATGTGTCCAGACAAACTATTTCATCGATTATTTACCAACGAGTTGTGGTTTGAGTTGGGGGCAATGTGACTAAAACAGTAATTGAAATTCAGCACACTATTTTTTTTAAAACGCGTTGCTTGAATAAAACTGACCAGACACATTCAATTTACCAGACTATTGAACAACTAGGAAAAGTGAAAAAAATACTTCTTATCGCCAGCATAAATGCGTAATTATTTTTTTTTACAGAAAAAGTAATTTTTTACCTTTGATTGAGTAACGCGTCGTGGAATGCAGATACGGGCATGCAAAATACACTTGTGAAAAGCTTGAAGTCTGGCGATTCTAAAAATATATACTTTCCCGGGTCTATTTGTAGTCATTTAGTCACAATTAGAAGATGACAACAAGTATGCAATAATAGTCCCGCTACCTTAAGGTAGCGAGACTATTATTTGTGTTGAAAATTACGATTTTCACATTTATTTATTATTTGGTGAAATGCACTATAAACTTTCATCTGATAAAGTCAACGTAACCTAGAATGTCATGTAAGTTGGTTAA